TTGCCGTATACTAAACGTGCGTATATATACAATCAAGTAAAATTATTTATTATGTTAAAATAATATAGTTTTTTATTTATTAATAATTTTGCACGTACACAATAAGATATTGCAAAATCTTAAAAGTATATAAAATATTATATAATATATTTTTATTTGCAATACTAGATTTTATCGAAAAGTATTCATACTACTTAATTGTCCATAACGAATAACTATTACGGTTTTTGTTACGAGATCAACAATTAACTTCTATATTCTGACGCACACTGCGCGAGTAATTACAGTTCTAATCCGGCACAGATGCGGATGTTATTTTTCTGCAAACGCAAGGCTTTATGTCAGTAGCCATACGTTTGCGTGACGCGTAAGATCGATTTTCTGACATTTTCGCACATCTCATTCGTGTTTTCCTATTGACAGTGCGGAATGCTGTGAAAGGTTGCAGCTCGAAAACGCTTAACTCTTTCGTCGTCAGATTGATTATATCCGTCAAATGCCTTTCTGGACTTTGTGGAGACGTACCGAAAATAGCGAGGAACAAAATTATGTTAGAAGACGTCAAAATGCGCCGGAGAAATCGATGCGAGCATTGCTGGCTCTGTCTACCATCGAGTAAGTGCCATCTTGAAGTTTCTTTATTACACCAATCTCAAATAATTGAGAAAATATATAAATGGATTCATGATTATTGAAATAGAGTAAATTAAATCTTCATGTTAATGACCGAATTAAATTCCTTTTATTTGCTGTCCGCTAGAAAAAATAGAATGCATAAACTAGTACTGAATATTTAGATACCTATACTACTGTGTGTCACATGTGTAGGTCGACTTTTGTGGAGTCAAGTAAGGTTAATTAAATTTCTCCGTAACAACGATATGCGAAACTGTACTTATCTTGTGGTTCCACGAACATAATTAATATTCACTTCCCTTGAAATCTTTCTAAATGTCTATTATAATAACTACTTTAATGTCTTTGCTCAAAGAACATTATTATTATTGTTCTCTTTATTAAATAATATAAATTTGCAACAATATTTGTCTGTATATTATGCGCAACAATTCGCTTTGACAACTTTGATACTTTGATAAAAAAATATTTATCTTTAACAAATAGCAATTTGCAATACTAAGAATATTCTATTTAATTACCCAAAATTAATGAACAATTTTATTATTGCGATAATAATATTTATAAAATTAAATAATTTATATACAAACCGCACATGAGAAATATCTCATAGTTATGGAATTTGACATTACGGAGAAATCAATAACGTTATAAGTGTTGTATTTTATTGGTATGCAACATGTGTGCAAGTATAATTTTTTATATGATATTTTTTTACATTTAAAAAGTAATGTGTGCGTGTGTGTGCGTGTTTATATGTATAACATAAAAAGCTGAGAATTAAATATAAAATTAAAAAATAAATATTAAAATAAAATATTAAAGTAAACGAGAAAGTATTCAAATTATGTCATGTTTCGTCATATCTATTTATTTTTATGCTGCTTTTGTCATATAATGAATAACCAATTATATAACTCAGTCATATGAATAATCAACGTATGCGATATAAATAACATTAAACCGGAAGCTGTACAATATCAGCCTTTTTATCTTTCAAACTCTTATCTTTAGAGCGGGGATTTACATTTATTTATTTCTTTTAGTATTTATTTTTAATGCGTAAATCTTGCACATATATATAACTTAATTTAGAAACAATACTTATAAAAATATGCACATATTTTTTAATAAAATAATACCACATTAATATTAATTTTTAAGTATAATGTAATTGTGTGTGTGTGTGTGCAACATTATAATTATATTTAAATAATTTAATTTTTTCTCTGAGTAAAGCGGATAAATATTTTTTGTTTAATTAATTAATCACATAAAATTATATAAAAAGAAAAATTATAAGATATATATGTTGGTATATGTTCTGAAATAACATTTTCTACAAATTTCTCAATATTTTTTACATTGAAAAAGAGAGAATTGTAAAGAATTATTTATATATTTTAATAATATATAATAAATATGTTATTACCACAATATTTTTTAATTAATTATTTTTATTTAAAAATATATTTAATGTAAAAAATAATTTTGCAAGATTGGTGAATTGCGTGAAAATATTATGCAAAAAAAATGTAACAATAACAAAAATTTTTGCAAGAAATATTTGTTGTTGTCTTACATGAAGTAATGAAGAAAGAAAGCGTGAGTAAACGCACACACCCCTTCTCTTCGCATACGCGTGCACAATCAGTTGGGATCCCCAGTTAGTGAGAGTGGGTACTTGGTAGCATGGAGACTGTTGTCAGTGCCACTTTTTCCTTCGTAGGGGTCGCGTATTAAATGAACGACGTTAGTGCAGGACTTTCTAATTAATAAATCGCAATCATGTCGCGCAGTTGCAAATAATTATAAAATAATGTAATAACTAAGATAAAATCTATTGCACGTCAAAACAGTGCATGAATGTGTATATATGTGTAACTTATAAAAGTTCGTGCTTCAAAAAAAATTCACAAATTGAAAATTCGCAAGAATTTATTCAAAGTAACTCACAAGTAGACTTTAAATGGTTTAGCCATGTTGAGCAATTTAAAGTTAAAATTTTATTGCACAAGGCGTCTTTCGAAAAGTTGCACGAAAGATAACAAAATAAATATTGAAGAGATAAGAAACTCGTCCGATATCTGTGAAGAAGAATATTTACCGAACAGAAATTTATCAATTTTGACCGATAAGCAACTTGAATCGGATGTCGTGGACAATGTTTGTCTGCGACAGAAGCAGCACGTTGAAGGGACGTCGAATTCTTCAACCAGGAGTTCACAAAACTCGTACGTTCTGATAGCAACTGAAGAAATGCCTGTTGTATTGAACGATGCAAACTGGGAATTCGTGAACTGTCATGATATTACTGAAAGTGTACGAAAGGATAGTGCTGTAAAAGAATACTGTAGTCCCAAGTGCAGTGGTGCTTGGTTTCTGAAAATCCGTCGCGAGATTTTGAGGAATCGCCGTAATAAAATTTATCCTGTAAAGTAAGTGTAAAGGTCTTTTACGTAATCTTTTCTTTCTCTTTTAAATAATGAAACTATCGATGATATGATTTTAGGCAATTGATAATATGAGATGATAATATCAGATAAAAAATATATATATAACAATTAAGTTAATTATCTCTTATTGCTTAAAAAGATTAGATTGAAAAAACAGCGGTCACATTGTTGCATGATGAAATTTTATTCAACAGGATATATTACGTGTATTTCAAAGATAAGTAATGCAAAGTACTGATATTCACATTATATTATGGTTTCCTGGCATAATGTCGTCATATACAGAACACTATTATGATTCAAGATAGCATAATACGTGCTACAAACGTTTAATAGATTTATTTTTAAATACACACAACACATATACAATTATTATATATAGTGTATCATCATATATAATACATATTTATGAAAATTTATTTATAATGCTGATTCATTGCTTAATTAACGGTACATTATAATTTTCCGAGGTCTTGTTATCGTAGCCACATCTCGAACGGAATTGATAGCGTAATATCCGTACGTAAAAATAGTCTGTCTGTTCACATCCAAATGTGACGGATGTTCCGTTACGATAATGTATTTCTCACGGTCTTTTACGAAGACACTCGATAGTTTGCACGTGGCAGGGGAGTTTAAAGACCCTCAGAAGCGCGAGCGGAAAACCTGGCATAGGTTCGCTTTGCGCAGGGAAATACGCGTGGATGAGTCATTCCAGTAAATAGTAGTTTGAAAGTAGCAAGCACGCGTGCATGGTCGAGTAAACAGCAAATAGCGAAAGAATATGTGGCTGTGTTGTTTTCCCTCGTGATTTTTATTATTTACGGTATACATATTACAGGTAAATAAATGCAAATTTTAAATAATTTAGTTTATTGTGTATAGATTATTAAAAACACAAGAATATTATTTTCACGTTTTCTTTAATACTTCAATTTTCTTTATTGTAATGTCTTAATATGTAAAAAGAGAAAAAAATCTAGTTTTTTTTTTTATTTATATTAATGCTGCGATTGTTATGCAAATGATTTAAAGTGATAATCTTAAAATAGAATTCCAATTACTAATTTTTGCGCCAAGTATAAGAGTGTTACAAATATTCTCATACATGTCATATTACTTAAATTTTTTTTATTTTCTTTTTAAAACTGATGTACCAATTCACCATATCAAATCATTACAAAGATCTGCGCATGTATCACTCAGGCAATCTTTTCAAGCGAAATATTTCATTCTTAATTTAATACCGTTTCGTAATTTTTAATAATCAGTATATGTAAAAGTGGTCAATATCATTAAGAAATATCATTATCACGTAAAACTAAATATTCATTACGTACATTACGTAGTCACGTACACCTTTTACTCGGCATTGCACGAGCGAATGCTACGTGTGCCGCGTGCAGGCGTGCGCGACACTCTTGCGCAGCACGTGTATGTGGTGGATTTCCTGCACGCACCGAACCTGAACGCAGGAGGGTTCACGACTCCGTGATTCGATATGCCTTTTGTGCCTATTCTCTCGAAAACAATACTTTCAACCTGCCGGATAAGAACACGAGGCTTTTAGTGGCGTGATGTGTCGAATAATCTTCTCAGTTTTATACGTCAACGTGAATGTAAAAGAAGAAAAAGTAACGTATTTTATTAAACATTTTCGACAAACTACGAATCACTGTACATATAAGAAATAATATAATCGATTTATTACATTGTTGTTTTTGAAATAATTATCTACAAATTTTTTTAAATCTATAATTATATTTATACGTAGGAATATTTTTATCAAATTTTAATTTTTTTATTATTAATTATTTTTAAAAATTAGTAAAAATATGTAAAGTTGATTAAAACGTGGAGACTGTGAAAGAAAGAATAAAGTCATTAAAATTATGTATTTGCACGTTTGATCACAAATTTGCAACAGCTTTAATCCATTCTCGATAATACGAAACTTTGACGTAAACGCCAGCCACTTTTCCACAGCCATGACCAAAAGATACAACGCCGTAAATTGTTCTTTTACTGGCCAATGCTCCTCCAGAGTCTCCGAAGCACGCATCTTTTCCTTGGGTTCCGTAACACAAATGATAGTCATCTTTGACGAGTATTGCGTATGAGGAAGTGGCATTAACACAAATTTCGTACGGAACATGCTGTACATAAACGCCCATAAGAGTTTTGGCATTCTCTTTCTATAAAATATTTTAATTAAATCGTTTGCTTTTTATTTTTTAACAAAATTGATAAATAGATAGAAAAGAATCTAAGAAATACAAGTAATCAATAAGCAATAGCGTTCTTATTTAACAAACATTCTACACACATTTTTGAGATGCGACAGTTTTGAATTTTGAATTTTGTTGCTGGTATAAGAAAATATATAAGTAAGTAATATAAAATATTTAAAATAAGTAAACCGATTGTATACCATAAATTCTTACGTATTACAAATTTAGCTTACTCACTTCTTTATTATTTATGTATCCCCAACCACAAACTAATAGTTCATCATATGATTTTTCGTGGGTTGATCTTGGTAAACGAACTGATCGGACGGTTCTCGAAAAATAAAATGGTGGTTTTACTTGAAAAAGTGCGATATCGTGTTCCAACAACCTCGAGAACCAAGAGTGATATGTGTCGTTGTATACATGAATGTTCGTCACCCTATGCACAGACCCGCCTCTGTCCGTTTTATTGGATCCAGCCCGTACATAATATTGTGTCGACGGTACTCTAGGAAATAATAAAGCATCAGAATACAGTGTTAAAATTATGAAGACTGAACTTCCCGTGCTCAATTTGTAAGTTTAATTAAAAATTAAGTCTAATTATATGTGCTAAGAGAATTAATAACAATAAATCACAATGTTAAAATCTCATTACAAACAATGAAGAGCAGTGATGGCCCACGTCCTCGATAATATACTGGCACCGCATAAAAATCCATGTGAATTATGTAAAGAGAGCTGCAAGTATTGTTATTTTTAGAAAATGTTAGCAAATAGATAAATACGTCGACGTATATAGTTGAAAAATATAATTAACCATGAAAGGTCTATATTTTATGTCAATTGATTGTCCTCCAATAATTTTTGGTTGCGCTGTATGTGTTGCATTTCCGCCTGTTTCTTCAAACAGGAAGCCTAGGATATACATGGAGAACGGTAAATGTTATGTAGGCATGTCTCGTATTAATAATAATGGAAACAGCGGCTATTTAATTATCACTTTAATGTTATTATATGTATATAATACCTATATTCGTTTTATACGATAATAACTAAAAATATTAATAAATATTTCTCTGCTTTATTAACAATAATGTATAACGTAAATAACTATTCATACCAACAAAATAGAGAATAATGACTGCTGCGCGCATTTTTGCTGACTGTGTCATCGTACAACGTGATCGAGCATATGTAACGACGATCTATTTCGCCGTAGTTGTAAATGTCAGACACGACATATTTCATAAACGTTTAACAGCTACAAGCGTTGATACTATTGCAATTACCGTATCGCAACAATGCCGAGATTGAACGTGATTTATGTAAGCACCATAAGCAAAGTGATAATTTGAAATTTATTATTTCTTATCGCGATGAGACGAACACTTATTAGTCAATCAAATACTTATTAGCAGCGGAATTATTGTAAAGATTCATAGAGTTGCTATCTCGAGGAACATGAAATTGGAATGTAAGTGTGACATGAATTCAGTTAAGGATTTCTATAAATTATTTAAGGGGATCCTAAAGCCGTCTGTAATACCGGCTTTTTTTCTTAGCACTAATCTTTTAATTGACTTTATAGAAATGCAAAATTCTTGTCTAGAATTAAAGTACGCATCAAAATCTAGGTCATGGTGGTCAAATTTATATCGAAAACGAAAAAAAATTAATATTTTTGTTAATTTTTGGTATACGTGACGACAATATTTGCTTTGTACAAAAATTCCACGATAAATATCCACAAAATTAGACCGGCATGACCTAGGGACAACATTTAAGAACAATATCGTGCAATTAGATCTAAGATTGAAAACCTAGAAAAAAAGATTACTTTATATAACTTTTATATGTGCAAAAGCACATTCAGGTTGACAGGATAAGCAATATTGCGTGTGGCAAGAGATGGCGCAGTAATCGAACAAAGACAGATGCCTCTCGTTAAACAAGGACAGATATAGATATATGACAAGAAAACAGAATTAGAAATGTTGACATTACCGACGTCGAGGAAGTTCAGCCTTCACTTTAGGATCCCCTTAACGGCAATGATATACATTTAATGTACAGATACATTTACATTTAATGAATACCAAAAATACAAAAAATAAAAAATGTATTATATAATTTGCATAAAATAAAATGCGTAAATAGAAGATTTAAAAAACATTTTGATTATAGTCTAACTACTTTTATTTAAAATTTTATTAAGTTTCTTTACACATTATGTATTAAGCATTTACATGTCACTTATTTATACAGACATACGTTTACTGCATGCAATATTGTATAATTAATTTTTCTGCTTTAACAATATACACATATGTATTTACTTATTTTAACAACGCTGATATCGTAAATTGCTCATTATTTCTTAGTTATTAAGTAAACCATAAAAATTGTTTGATTTATAAACGTGCTTTGAATAGAATTCACATCGTCTTGACCATCAATATTGATGATTTCCTCATAAGCTATCGATACTATCCGAAATAGTTTTTAATCGGTTTCTGTAAAATCTTTTAGAAACAATGATCTACATTCATGGCCAGTGTCCAGGTGTAACCCATTCTTCCGCCAATTCTTCGATGTTAGATTCATCTTTGTGCTCCCCCAAACAGAATAATGTAGAAACCAAACTAATTGTTTCCATGAACATAGTGACCAATAGCAAGTTATTTGCGAGACAGGCTAAAGTGCTCTTGTTATTTTGGCTTCGCATTCTACTTACATCATTCATTGAACGCATTAGTCTTTCAAAAATAATATCGGCCTTTTTTCTTATTTCTGAAATATATATAATTAATTTATTATAATTTATAAAATTCGGCTCTACTACATTGAGTATGAACTATTAATTCCAAATTCTTTGATAAATTTGAAATCAAGTAATAAAAATTGATTTTAAAAATAAAGATATATTATTTGTTAGAACTGCTTCAGTAGCAAAATAAAATATGGTTTTAGCAATTCTAAAAAATTAGATCTAAGAAATTAACAATTAATACAGTGAAATATTTTCTTCTTTGTGTGTAATAATTAACATAAATACTTACGATCTTTCTTAGAATATATAGCAAGATATCTCATTTCATTATTTTCATCAAATTCATTACTTGCACTGTCTGAATCTGTCATATCTGTCATATTAGTCGGCGGAGTATCAGTAGAAATCGATGTATCAACATCTGTATCACTTAAATTTGCACATCCAAATAATTCCAGAAGTTTTGTTATCCATTCAGATAAGCAAACGAGAATTTTAGAATGACTGTGCCAGGACTCTTTAAAAGAGCTTCTAATACCGTGAATAAGAAACTTTTGAATCTCTAACACGGAACAATGAAAATTTCCAACAGCAAGCATTGTTTCTTTTAATATTCCATTTTTATACATATTCAATGATATAACCATCTTTTTATACCTAAAAGGATTATTTATGTAAAATCAGTAAAGAATTTAATTATAAATTTTTAATCTAAAACTATGACCAATTATACCGTGTACTAATAAAAATTAATAAGTATATTATTACGTAATTTATTAAAATAAATATCATTAACCTCATAGCCGCTCTCTTGTCCTTAGTGGCACTTTTCGAAAGCGTATTCAATCTTCTGTAGCCTTCTTGATAAATCATAAAATATTGACATATGTCATACGTGAGTTGGCTTCCCCATATGCTTCTGGAAAGTACATTCCCGAGTTCATTCGCAACACGGTAAAGAGATGACCGTCTAGGTATTCGTCGGTCTAAAATTTTCTCGTAAATATATTTCACTTGCTGCGTTGTAGTCTTCGGCAGTCTTCGATTTGCGGCGAATTTGCAGCGAATTTTTGGATTGCCATCTTTATCAATATTAATCTTACATTCACTTAAACGTTCAATAACGGTTAACCATGGTTTGACAAGAAATCTATGATGAACGATTGTTTTGTTTGAGTCTTGATCACTCGATGATGACGTGCAAATTGTGAAACGTCGTAACTCTTTGATACAATCGCTGTAATGACTGGCCCTTTCAACAAGTGAATGACATAGCAGCATGTACAATTGTTCACTGGTTGTGCCGTTACTTGGTACAGAACGAACGAATTCTCGATCAAGTCTGGACTTAAATGATTTCACAGTGTTATCGGGTGAATCTTTCGCTAAATTTGCAAGAGCTCGATCCAAATTAAAAGATGATGTTAGTTTCCTCTTGTCTGTTACCGGTAATAAACATTTAAATAATTTTTTGCTGAAACTCGCGGCATCATTTATAGTACTGAAAAACTTAAAACTTTGTGTTAGCTTGCGCGGTGATAAGTCCTGAAATAATTAATAAGTTATATTTTTTATATACAATTATCTTAATTTATAAAAAAATTTTTCTCGATAATACTACAATTGAATAATTTATTTTAAAGCTATAAACAATTCTACACACATTTATGTTTTAGCTATAATTACTTTAAATAATCTATTATCTTTTGACACTATCAAACTTACCTTAGCCTCGTATAAGGTCATATTATACGTTTTGAAATAATGATTAATCGCAAATCGAATCTCTTCTCCTATTCTGATCAAATCGCATAATAGCAGCGATCCTTGAACCAGACCTTCGGTAAACCAACTATTAGAGACTGTAGAGTTCCACAATGTTTGCTCATACTGACGAACCGATGTAATTAATCCACTGGTTCGCGCAAATTCCATAATTTTTGCACGTATAATCTTGCTTATCATATTAATCGTGCTTCCCAAACTACCTCCATCGGGAGACGACAATCTCAGAGTTATTGGCTGAGCGATCGGTTCAGTTAATCTTGCCAAGAAATGTTTTATTATTATTTCCGCATGTTGAATCTGTTTTGGATTTACCAAAACAAATGATGTAACATCCAATTGATTTCTTCGGGATGCTGTCCATGTAGAAAACGTTTTATTACGATAAATATTTTCCGTCGGCGTACAAAATACAGTAATCTCTACAGCAAGTTATGAAGAGAAAAAAATTAATTATTAATTATAGATTTATTTAGTATTGATATGAAATTAAAAATAATACACTACCGACGAATAGGAACAATATAATCAATTTGCAATGCATGTTTGAGCTAACTATGTTTGCAGATAGCTAGTTTAGTCTTTTATGTAGATTCTTTTAAACGTACGTCATGCAATTTGTCTCAAGAACAATGGAAAATATTTCTTCTGTACGTTCAGTTAAACTTATCTCGTTGCATGCTATATTGACATATATTATAATAAAAGTGGAAAATTTATGCTTTCGTTCGAACAGACGTTAATGTTGCTTGATATATGTAACACGATACAATAATGATAAGATACAAGATTTGTTTTCGAGATTGCAGCTCAATAATAAATATTTTTTATAACTTTTGTAAAAAAGTAAATTATTGTCTGATGTAAAGATTAAAGCTAGCGCATTCCTATTTCCGTATCATAATGCCGCAGAAACATTATTGATGTTTCCTTCAACGCATTCGCAGTGATGTATGTATGTATATAGTATCAAGCGAAATGGCGACGTGGCGCCTGCGTTCAAGGACTGCAACGATCGCGACGTCAGTCTGGATAGCGGCTTTTACCAGGAATCAATTCTCGTACAGGTACTGGCCTAGAATTAGTAATGGAGTGCGTTTGCGATATTGTCTTCTGGTGTTTACGATAAAATAAAGTAAACAATTTAAGCAGAATTAAAATTCAAATAATCATTGCGTTATTAATGACGAAAGTGACATTATATAATTTTTAATTTCTTTTGTTTTTTTTATAAAGTGTACTGGCTGATCGAATATGCCATTATATCAGTGTTTATCAACAATTGTTGAAAAATATTTTTCATGTAAATTTATTATATCTTTTAAATCAAATTAACCATCTTGCCGCAGTAAATTTTGATTTAGAAGATGTAACACAATGTACGTGATATAGGACAGAGTAAGAAATAGTATCGGTAAGAAATATACGTTTTTGCGTCAGTGATTCTGCGATATTAATTTCATACATGTCTACAAAGAGATCACCTGCATAATAGATGATGTCATCGAGATGATAAAATAAACTCCACGAATGTTGAGTCACTTACTATACACAACTACCCGTCTTGGATGATTATTTAATTAGCCTGACATCACAACCACGAAAGATAAGTCACAGACGAAATTAACCGAGCGAACATTTCTTTCGTGCACTAATTACTCAATTTTTATTTAAATATTAACCAAGAAGAATAAGTATGCGATAAATTTTAATTTTTCACATACTAATTTTTTGCTTGATTTTTTAAATGTTAATCTTAGCTTAAATAATTCTTTGTTGTTTCCTTAGAACGCACAAAAAAATTAAAAATTAATTAAATGAAAAGACGCCAGTAAAATTTATATATGTGCTCCATATTAAATAAATTATTATACATTAATTTTAAACGTAACTTATCTCAACATATACATATGAGAAATAGATTCTCTATACGGTATCATTATTTTTTTTTAAATTTGTATTTTTGAATAAATAAAAAGTATTTTTAGACAAAATAATACCGTAAAATTAAAATTATTTAAATACATAAAACACTTTGTAAAATATGCGTAACGGATAAAAGAAGTGAGAATGCTGTGGCTTGATAATAGGTGCCATCTACCGAGCGATCAAAAAGTACAAGTGAATGGTTGAATGTTTCATTCAAGAATAAATGGAACGCTTACTAGTCGCACCTATACCGGCCTTAACTCCAGCCGGCATATTTCCGTTGCGAAATACACTTAATTTTCTTTCGCACACGAGGTCAATATCTTGCAAGGAATGTTTCTGTGAGTGCGCGGTTAATATACGTATACCATTTTCTGCAAGTTCCGCAACTATAAGATACAGTTAACAATCGTATGCTTAAAATAACGGTGAAGCTGTTGGAGGCTAAATCGCATATAGGTGCGTATACTGATCCATTGCGTGAGATCGAGGAAATCGAACAAAGATGGACGAAGAAACTATGTGGAAAGGTTTCTATCATAAGATTGTAGAAGAGAAATTAGCAAAGGAGAATGAGCAACGAGATAAATCGGAGCATGAGATAAGGTAAAGTGATTTCAATTGAGTTTCATCATTTACACTGACTTTTAATTACTCTGTATCTCATATATGTTTTAACAAAAGACAATGTATGTTTCGTACAAAAATGTTATTTATTAAAATTACTGAAAAGATAATAGGAACAAAGTAATAAAACAAGTGAGCAAAGTATATCAATCTTCTAAAATATCTTTCACGGTATATCAAGAATATATTGAGAAAAATATCAAATTCTTCGAACAAAGAAAGAATATGTAAAAAATTATTAATACAATTTATTTTTAGCGAGCTGCAACAATGCTGCTAAAAATGTAGATTAAATTTATAATACTATAAAAGCTAAAATTGTACCGATTGCGCGAAAATTATTAAAATATTTAAATATATATAGTATATGTTGATAATAACATCAAGAATATAGCAAGATGAGTTCATAAAGTGTGACTTATTTTTGGCACAAAACTGGAGCGTCGATAACGGTGAGCTCTGCATGCAAATTCATAATCTTCATGATTGATGATAATGCTCCACGATAAACGTGATGCGTGCTCTTAGCCCATCGGTAAAACCTTAAATTAAATTGTCTGTAACCAGACATGTACGTACGATACATTCTATTAATAGAATGAGACTAACACGGAGAGTTCGGAGGAGGGACTACGTGGCAACTAACAGGTCTGAGTTCTATACCTGTATGCAAAACATATAGATGTGTCTATATATATGTGCTGTTCCACGAGATCTGGTGTCCAAGGTCGGCACGATGTTATATGATTCATAACTACCGCTTGACGTCTTTGTAAGAGATAATTAAGTACTAACGTTGCGTGAGGAACATAAAATCGACCATCTGTGAAGGAATTTGGTCAGGTGTGATCCGATTATATCAATGCAAATAGCTTATTAACGCATCGCAACTTTGTTTCCTCGCTTCACGTTTATGAGGATAATTGAGATATGAGGATATCCTGAGATATAATTTTAAACGCTTAAACAAACTCTAAATCTCCAAGTTTGCTAATTGTAATATGTGTGTGTATATAACTATACTACATATATGCAAAGTATATACATTTAATACATGAGTCTATTATACAAAACATATTTAATTATTAAAATAAATTTTCCATTACAACAAAAATAAAATTTTTTAAGAAAAGAATTAATTATAACAGAAGAGAGAAGAAAATCGTAGAGCAAATTCTGTTCCATATGTAATGATCGACTTTTATTGTAAAGCAAAATATAGCATCTATTCTATTTTTATTGTATTTCCTATGGTTTCCCACAATTTAATGACATGTTACCGCAAAAATACTATGCATGTCACATCGAAGTGGTCGAGGGAATTCCTTGGTTTTCCCAGTGAACAAGAACAAGATGATGAGGAAAAAGTGGAAAGGCGCCTTAGATCATCGCTTTGGGTGAATGGCTTTGCGAGAATCGCAAAAACCCAAATTGATTCTCTGACATCATCTTGGTGAGATCTACAAAGTTGTGACATCGTCAATGTGTACATCAAATAGTTGCTAAAGTTTGCGGAAATGATTGACAAGTGCTTCGATATTTGCGACGTTGAAGCAATGAAAATTTCCTTCTAATAATAATATTTTATATACACTAACTGTACTACATATTACGTAACATCGCACTGTGGATTTGCAAACTTACTTACCTTTTAAACCGTATAAGACTTAAAATTTCATATGTTTACAAAATAATAAAAACACAAAACACTCCTTAAACATTTATAACAAAATCAAACTCGAAAAATTGATAAAAAAATGTTTAATCTATATGATTATTATATTTATTGGTAAAATAATATGTGCGTCATATATAGTATATGTATTGTATTGGTGAATTTGAAATTGGAAACACACAAACATTCCAGCCTAGGAATATATTATTTCGAGGACATTTAGCTTATAGAAGACTTACATCACAATAGACTTTATACTTATTATGTGAGAACTTGAAATGCAAAACACTATTTTAAGTCGATCAACAAGCCTAAACAAAGTAATAAAAGTGATTGAGGCAAAATACATTTATGTAATAAATGGAACAAAAATATAGCGTTTAATTTTTAAATAAATTCGAAGAATATCATACTTAGGATGTGTGCGTGTGTGTGTGTGTAACAGATTTATTTTGTCGATTTTATATATGTTATAAATAAACTATAAATTTGTACCAAATATAAAATAATTTCTGATCTACATGAGATCGATTTATATCAAAATTGATTATCAATTACAGAAACAATCCAGCTGGACTGTTTATCCTTTGAAATTAACATAATATAAGAAGCTAAAATAGATGGCAAAAAAGAATAAAATAAGATTGAATAAGTCTACACTGTTCAAACGACGATCGACCGCATAATACTCGAGTGGCATGCGATACCATGAATCATTTCGTTCTTGAGTTAAGAATAAAAGAGGCTCAGAAAGCAATGCATTGCCTTAAAAAAAAGGAACGCAACAGTGACGCAAGTCAACGAACATCTATTTCTTGCTCTTCTCGCTTCGTAATTCGAGAACGTATTTCGTGTTGTGTTTTTACGAATTGTTTACCAGATTATAAAATTTAAATTACAAATTGTTCTCAATGTCTACAATTGTTGATAAAAAATTTATTAATTTTATTAATTTAATTTTTCTACTTATTTATGTTTTGTTTAGAATGAAGAGTTGAAGAGAATATACGTTTGATCAAAGTTATTCAGCTAATTGTAAGATCAGCTGAAATTAATCAAGCTTTCCTCTTGTCTTTTGTTCTCTTACGCAAGTGCGTAAACTGTTTCTTAAAATTAGTTTGTGTGAGTGACAAACTGAGAAATACAAGTTCTACGTCGTATCGAGCTTAATAGTTACGTAAAGCTCGTTATAAATTAATTCGTTCTTATCTCTTGAACAATTATCTTATCTGATGTTGCCCGCATTTGCTTAATTTATAATTGCACACTGTATTAAATTCCAAAAAAATATCAGTAACATAAAAAAATGTTTAACAAACATACCGGAATATTACAAATTAATAATTCAAACAAACTGAAAATATTGCATAATTATGTAGCTTCAGGCAATTAAATATTGTTGTAAATTCATGAATAATGATTATTTATCTTCTGTTAGATATGTATAAACATTGCGTCGTTATAATTGTAATAAGTATAATTATACAAGTCCGTTATAATAAGTGTAATTATAAATCCATTCTAAGCAGGAGATAACTTTTTTATTACGTCTTTGCTACATTACGTCTTTGCTAATTATTTGTGTAATCAAATCCCACACATATCCTGGTTTCTCCTACTTTTAGTCGCCTACTTGCTACCTGTTTCCCACTCAAATTCTTATCCAGTTTGCAGTCAGACATGGACCAGTGCATATTTCCAAAACTGTTCATGTGAATCTAACGAATCTATATGAGCCGATTTAATTTCATGAAATCTGTAAGTTGTAATTTGCGAGGATTCAAATTTCGTGTAACTCACAATAGTGGGATTTTCCTTCTACGTAACAGGAAAGAAATACTGTGTAATTAAGTTTCCGTTTTATATGACCAAGCCGTAATGTTGTGATAGTCAGTATGAACGAAGCCGCGGTACGAGAACATAGCTTTTAGAAAAGATAGCTCAGTAACTTGAGAAAAACAATATCCATCTTACTGAAATGTGAGCACAAACGTTAATTCGTTTCTGGTTACCATAATTAATTCTTGCATGATATATTGCATGAAAAAGTTCCTTGGAAGTGATATCTTCTAATGTCACAGTGCATCGCGTTGTGTCTTATCAAAAGAGGTGTTATATTCTGCAGAAGACTGTCAAAGTGTTGAACAGTGCAATATGTGTAAAAAAAGCATTCAAATTTTTCGTGAAAGATTTGCTTGTCAGCTTTATATAACTGAGTTTTAGTTCTGTAAAATTAAATTTATCACAATAAACTTATTTTTAATTAAGCAGAAAAGTCAATAATATTAGACAATTGTTTTTTTATCACGTTCTTTTATTGACAATAATATTAAAACAATAATTTACACATTTTTTGTATTTTTTTATTATATATGTGATAATATTTAGTACGAAAGAGATAGTTTAATATATTTATTTTTATTACGCCTAGTATAACGCCGAGTTCAAAATAACAAAACTGAAATTATCAAAAAGACAAATAGTAAATAAAATTTAAATATAAAAATCAAGAATTTTTCTTGTCTGACAATGTAACGTGATTTTTCTTGCGTGAATTTTCATTGGAAGACGTATGGTGTTTTTGCTAAAGGATTAAGAAAAGGAAAATGGCGCATTTTGTAAAACTGGACGAGAAACATCCTTACTATGCGATCGCGGCTTTACGAATGTCTCAAAGGCCGGAAGCGAGAGAAGTGACCGTCGCGAGATTCTATTGGAAATTTGCGGCGTTCAACTATATTAACAAAAGGTGAAACGAAATGTTTGTGTGTGTGCGATTTGCACTGATGGAAAAGTTTGCGCTGTATTTTAGCACAATAGTGCAATATTTTATGCGCTTTCTTGAAGCCATAAGTCATGCTTTTCAGTAATTTGTACATACTTACAATCAGATGTATGTAGTCGCAATCCTCGCTCCCAATATCTGTCCTAAAAATTTGTCCACATGTTTTTTCCTTTGTGTTCTTTTCCACAAAGCCTAATATATTTATTTCGTTTTGAATATTTTACTGACAAATGTTTTGTTTCTGAATAATCACAATAATAAAATCAGCAAAATGTTTGAAAACGCTATAACGTATGTTTAAGTTTATTAAATTATTTATGTTACACGTGAATTTCATATTAATTATTATAGTAGCGTAGATGTAGCGTGTTATAGTAGCGTAGAAGTATGCTAATTTATGATTCTAAATGTATAATATATTTATTCATTGTATGCACTAGAATATGTACTAGAATATACTTTAATTACGTGCACGAGAATATTATTTTAACAATTTGTTATTATATTAGGTGAAAATATTTTGTTATTTTAATATTGCTATGAATACTACCAATATGCATATATACACATACGTAGATATTATAATACTGTGAAAAGAGAGAAATTTTATTCATAAAATAAAAATATAATTCTAAAATTAAAAAAATATTAAACTATTGTTATTAATCTGAAATAATACCTTATTCTAGAATACAAGAATCAGATGGCGGCTTCTTCGAAAATCTCGGCACATTGCTCGCGGAAAAAGCTCGCGCCCAGGAACAAGCAGAAGGTCCACTTCCAGAAAAAAAATATGAAACGCAGGAAGAAGAAGAGGAAGATACCTTGAACGAGGAAGGAAGCATCGATGAACCAACCGAAGCTTTGCTGGAAACTGACAGCGACAGAGATGAAAATGAACATGCTCGGAATTTCTTGGCCGAATCGGTGGGCTTAAACGTAAGTGACAAAATCTTTAACTTATTACTAATATGACATGGGGTAAATTATCAATTTTAATGTACATATAAATTCTTATAGTTTCTCGCTCAAGTGATGATAAAATATCACACTGCAATTTTTTTTTACTGTAATAACAATAACGTTTTTAAAATAAAACAGTTGTTTCTTTTAAAGTCGAATGTGAGAAGTATCATAATCGGTAAAATTAAATAATTGAATTCAGATTTCAAATTCAAGTATAGGGTTTGAGATCAATAATTCACTGTGAAGACTAGAAACTTGATAGATCTTCTCTTAGAGACGCTATTATCATCTGGTAAGATTCTAATTCAAGATAGATTATTTCATCGTCTACTTCCGAATATTAATGACTATACTTCCGGCAAGAGAACGAATTCTCACACGTTAACGGCACGCGGAGTGTTGTTTGAAAATATTTCGAGTAGCTCTATACCGCATCACCTACGTCAATAGATAACGAGTAGTCTGTTCAAGATCAAAACTCCGCGTGTAATTCTGAAGAACTTTTAACGTATTATATACTTACACCGCATAATTCGAAACAGATTCGTTGACATGGGAGAGTGGCTTAAGGTGATAATTGCATTAGTTTGTAAAATGATATTAAATTTTAAAAATTTATCTACATACCCCTCATCATCTCAATCTAAATATTTAACATACAAACATCTAAAAAAAACTTTTTAGAGGCAATATAACAAATAATAAAAAACTTGATGATTAAAAATAATATATTGGAACAATTTAAACATAAAAATTTGATTGATTAGAATACTTATAAATTAAGGGAGAATAGTTCGTATTATATTTTGTCGGCAACTTCATAAATACGCGTGATGCAGCTATTTCATAAACCTGTTAGGTGATTATTCTCTCGATTGTTACTGCATAACATGCATTTGATTTTTTTATAATAGACATGTTCATAATAGACATTCACGATTCATGCTCCTGTTCGTACGATCGAAACTCATATTTTCTGTATATTACTACATGTTCTGCCGCGTGATTGAACGACTGGTAACAATATTGATTTTTCCAAAGGTCTCAGTCTGGTAGGGAAGGTAGTCGAAGTTAGACGCTCCCTTGCGTTGCCATGCGAAACACTGTCACAATTCTCTTCCTTCAATTTTATCTTTAAATCTGTTTGTTATTAAAAATAATGCACTTGACCGAATTCAACAAACCACTTTTTCCTAAAATGGACGGAAAGAAAAAGAAACGCGTAAGTCTGACATTATCTAAATTATTTTATTAACACATTTTTGTTATTTATACTATAATCCGTATTATATTTAACGATATTAATTATACGCACATTTTTACTCAATTTGCAAAAAAATATCTTATCATTTGTATCTGTAGTCGCAAATAATTTGATCACAAGAAATTCATTAATATAGTCAATGTATCCTTTCATATATGTATAGATATTTAATTTTCATGATGTCATACGCATTAAAATGTTCCAATAAATTTTTATTGCTTTAGAAAATAATCGCTTATTCTTAGGGTTTAAAGTCGAACTTTGATACAGTCAAAATCGACAAAATTGATTGCAATAATTTCATAATATGATATAATAATGCTTGTTTGTACACCGTACACCCTCTGTACTGGGGTGTTATGCCTTACGCTTAATCGAGCAGTTAAACTCAATCTGAAATGAGATCCACGTGTTCGTCCGTTAGCAAATGCACTAATACGAAGTCGTCTAGTCGACGTACGACGACTCTGATCTGTTGGTCCATCTATTCCTGGCAGTGTGGTGCTCGCCTCCGTCAAGTTCCTGTCTTGTCTTCTCACGCTGATTATCCTGACCACCTTTTGTAGTTTTATCGCTAATTGTTGCCGTTTGATTAATTGTATTAGCAATCCTCAAAATATATTTGTCAAGGGATTCTAGAAGAATGAAACACGGTGAAGTTATTCGTATGTCTCTGTGTGAAATTAATAAGTGATTTAGTTAGCTAAGGGGATAGCAAATTTTCCTTAAGTTAATCCGTTTCAAATTATTTTAATATTTAAAATTATCGGTGAGTTATGCAAGAAATGTGTACTCTAAAACTGAATGAGTGATATACAGTTCGACTTGCTACGTGTTGTGAATAACGTGCCATTTTAGAAGAGTAAATGTCAAAACAATTGCATATATTTTATTGATAAAATTTGTAATATTTTTGTTACATTAAATTAATTTTAATATAAAAATAAGTTATTGCTAATGTTCAAACATAAAAAATCGCCCGCGTATATATTTTAAAAAATTAAAAAATTAAACTATAACAGAGAATGTTCAGACTTAAAAAAAGCGGAAAGTTATTTAAATAATAAAAAAATAATAAAAATCAGTTGATGTAACAATAATGTGGTAAAGATAATATGCAATATAAGCGTAATTAAAAAAAATTAGAAACTATAAGAATAGTTTATTCAGTGTAACATTGTTACAAGCTGTAGCACTTCAATATTTGGAATTTGCTAAGTCGTAAAAATAAATCACTACTCAGAAAACGAGGTTAAAATGCTTTCTTCTTCTGTTCGATTGCCTCTTGAAAAATTGGCAAATTGTCAGGAACACTGTTTAAAAATGAAACGAAACATAGTACGATCTGGTTTTTCAATATCCATAGTACTTTTCTTATTTTTATTCTCACTAAATCTTCTTAAACATAAATCGGTGATTTCTATTATTATTTGATTGCAAGATATTTCTATTTAATACATTCAAGTTTTGAACATTAACAATAAATTTTTCATTAACAGCTGCCATAATACAGTTAACACAATGTGAAAACAATGTACGTGTTGCAAATTATTATATTAATATTACAAATAATAATTGTGATAACTATGACGTCGCTATATATGATACAAAATAACTGACATCTTAAACGAACTCATCCTCGTCGAAAAATAGAATTGGTATTGAAGTGGGCGTAAGAAGTTGGACCGTCTCAAAATTGCATAATTCAGCGAAAATTAAACGAAGCTGAAATACGAAGGACAAAAGTATCTTCATACATTCATACATCCTACTTATCATACAACGGGTGTCTCGATGGTGTGCCTTGATGGCCAATGAACTAATTGTTGGTATATCAGCTTTCATTGGACGCAATTGTGCGAACGTATGAACGCATTGTGTTTGCACTTGCCCTGTGGGTCACTCTAAACGGGATACGACATAGTTCCTTTGTGTCCAGATTCGCCGATTGTTTTCATGTTGATTAACGCACGCAACCATAACAATAATTCTTGAGAAAGAAGAACTGTCGCTCTCTTTGTGACGTACAGTTAAAAGATATTAGCGCGAAAGAATTGACGCATAACAATTAATAAAGAGAATCGTTAATGCATGTTAAATACTTGTGATTTTAGCAGATTTCGTTTTATTAGTATATACGACCCATGAGACACAATACAAAACAAATACTCAATCTCACTGTCAGAGTCAATTGCTCTTGGCAACTATATTTGCCTGTGGACATTGATATTGAAGGCTGTGCTCCAATTCTAGTCTCAAATATAGAATTCTTAATTTCACGATCAATAGCAATTAAAAATTCCCATATGGATAACAAAATGTGTAAAGTATAAAAAAATTACTGTCCCAAAATTTCAACAATTTAATTTAATAATATGTTGATGTTATGCCTCTATTATAATAATCTCAAATAGTAGTTTATTAACAATGTTTAACTTAATTTTTTGTTTAGTTATATGTAAGAATCACAGGATTTAATATAATTTTGCATAAATTATTTATATATATTAAATTTTTAAAATGTTCAAAATATTATTAACTGTTCCAAAAAGTGTGTAATAAATCTGTGTGGATAGTTTATTTAGAAAGTATCTCTTTGAAACCGCGGTAGTTTGAAACTATTTTAAGCACACATGTTTACCACATTACTGATCCTCTTTCCGCTAGAAGTACATTGAAAAATGCTGAAACCTGCAATTAAAGTAAAGATATACTGATCTAAGTTATATTGAATAGTATTACATAACTTTAAAACTTATTATTTTCATGTCATATTAAACACACACTGATGCATGATGTAGCTAATAACTTTCAATGTTTACTAATAATCCAGTTTGTCGCAGCCAGCGTGGCTAAAACTTATCTGTTTCCTTAAAGAGTTGTACGGCATTAATAACATGTTTTTACGCTGATAAGTCGACAATAAATTTTTAATTATCTGAATTTTTAATTAGCTGAATTTTTAATTATCTTGAATTATATCAACACCTAAAGATTGTCTTCAAGCAAATTTTACTTTTCAATATTGCACAAGCTAGAAAAATAATTTAAGCTCAACATGTTGAAACATAACAATCGTGTATAATGCAAAAATAAAACAAGTTATAATGCAATGAGAATTTCAGTAGCGATAAATCTTATCCAAAGCTTATCTCTCACTGTCAGTTAAAATACTCGTGCATAGTTATATCATAGACCGTATGATAACGACTAATTCCTTAACATTACGATATATGCGGTGCTACGGTTCATGACAATCATTGATTATGCAGGCAAACGATTGAATATGGACGACTCGGTGTATTGTCGATAAGAGAGGTCGGGGCCATCGTAGAAGTTCATCTTTGGCCGACCAAATGAGTTTAATACCGCAACGAAATTCGTCGATCGCGCGTGCGATAAATCGGCATCTTCTCTCTGTCGTCAGTAAAGCATAAAATGCATTCGAAAAATTATCTTTGGCTAAAACAATAATCTTTTATTGCCTCCCCTCCCCCTGATCGAAGTGTAAGTGTACGTTAGGGGTCAGTGCGCGGAATTCTTTGTCCTCACGCAAGATCCAAATGTGTTTGCGTGAGCAGGTTCAACGTCTAATTGAAGCCAGGACTGCTGGTGCATGAACGTCATTGTTCTTCCCGAACAACATGATCTTCTGTCTTACATCTCCACGGGTCATTGTCGTGCCGTTCTAGATTTCTTTTCGCTAGATCTACTGTCCGTTATCGTCGTCGCAGCTGTTCGAGAATCGTCTGAGAAAATTGTCGGCGTGTCGCTTAAGCAAAAGAATTATGGTTCGGCCGTTTAATAATGATTGCGTTGGACACGGATAGTGCAAATCACGGAAGAACTGCGTGAAAACTGTAGAATGTGTAATTTATCGTGACTATATGACAGTCCCCTTGTGATTTTGTTGTTTGTGAATTCGAGAAGTAAAATAGTTACATGAAATTCAATATGGTGAGCACAAATCCGCCCATAGGGGCGTCCACCCTCAATCGTATGAGAAATACATTTTGCGGAGTGCCAAAGGCTGAAATTGAGCGTAGGACTAATGCGCTTTTGCAATCCATGACGGTGAGTCTGATCATCCCAGACAGTTGTGATTAATGATAAGGAAAATTTGTACATCTCAAGAGAAACACGTATTAGCATTTCCATAAAAAAAATTTATTAATTTTATTGACTTTCATACTTCTTTTTCTTTTCAAATGTTGTAGGTTTATTTCATTTATGTGCTTCCGCTCTTCTAAAATTTTTTAACTTCCTTATTCTAAAAAAATATTAAAATATACATTAATACAATTTTTATTTTATATTAGCAATTAGAAAAATTGAAATTGCACTTTATTCTGGATATACTGTATGTACATGTCATATACATTCTACGATAGTTCTCTAATTTCATAATTTAGATCATGTACATACTATTTTTATTGTTTGACCACAATAATTGTTTTAAAAACGTTGAAAAATGCTATATTTACATATAATTTAGATGTAACGTACATGGATACTTCGACTGGAAACATTATACTCAGACATACTAATGATATTTTCAGCAAAGCCCCAAAAATACCCTTAAAAGAACCTATTTAATATTATTGGCAAAATTATATTATAACAGTGACTCACGAAAATAATCAAATGTACTATACAACAATTATCTACAACTAATTAATGTGAAGAAAACAATTAATGAAAACGGCTTTTCAAAATTAATATAACATATATAGACAAACAAATATCTATGATTTCTTGCTACAGATATCTTTGTTCACGAATTTTCGAAAGAAAGTTGTAATAATGGTATTTCATAAGTTTCGTGAGTCACTATCCATACATGTATTTCTTGAAAAGTTCTCTCGATCTACTTTTTTATAACTAATGTTATTTGTAATGTATTGTCTGTCTATAGATCGAGGAGCTTTATACTGCGTTAGTATATATGACACAACATCAAATTGGCTTCGACGTCTCTAAAGAATGTAGCCAAGAAACTCTTTTAAACCATTTACAAAATGCCTTCAAAATTGATAACATAACCCACGAGGGAGTGTTGGAACAAACGCGAAATCTTGAGGTAATTTATTTTTTCACAATTATTTTATATAAAATTTTTACATGAAATGACATAGCATCACAATTTCATCGTGTATAAAAAAAATATACATGTATATTTAAAAAATTTTCATGTTTAGCCACCAGAACTACATCTTAACGTTGAAGTAATCGAAGCCAAAGAATTAGTCTCCAAAGATTCTAACGGCAAAAGTGATCCTTTCTGCGCTCTATATCTCGAATCAGCACCTACCAGAAGATATAATACTGCCGTGAAAACTTGCACACTAAGCCCAATCTGGGAAGAACACTTTGAATTGTGAGTGAAATACGTATTTTCTTGCTTTTAAAAGAATTATCATTCTAATTTACCGCATTACATTTTTTCATTTATGACAAATTTTATTAGTTTTAAAATGTTTAGAAGACATAAACATATTAAATATTTTAATATCTCACTAGTTTAATTAATTGTACAATTAAAAATTAATTAAATATTGCATTAGAAATGGTCAAGATTGAAGTTTTACTTTATAACTGAAAAAATTTTTTATCGGATATTATTATAATATTGTATCTGTTATTATTTAGACCACTCGAAGATCCTGAAAATGATGTCTTATACCTTGAAGTATGGTAAGTTATACATATTGCTTTGTGTAATTATTACTAATTATTAATTATTTTTATCTTATTCTAGGGATTTTGATGCTGCCGAAACTGTGCCTGAAAAGATGAGTAAAGTTAAAGATATTAAAGGTGTTCGTGGCTTAGTTAAATTAGCGAAAGAAATTGCAGTAACGGCTACAACTGGTAGTCACAATAATGAATTCATTGGTCGATGTCGGATACCATTAAAGGTAATATAACAAATTTTTTTTAAAGAGCATATTTTTATACATATATTTTATTTTCGTAAATACATTGCATTGTATTAATATTGTATTTATATACACTTTAAATATTAAATATATATTTTGTTCATTTTTAGGATATACCCACAACGGGCCATACAATGTGGTACGCTCTAGACAAGAAAAACAAGTCCAAACGTCGTGGTGTTGTGAAGCTTCGACTGGCCTTCAGCGCGGAACATAATGCACAAGTGGCCGCACAAGAGCACCGGCACCTGCTAAGAGTGCTGCTTCTTCACGAGATTGAAACGGAAAAAGTCGAAAAGTATTGTTGGTGTGGTCGTTGGTCAGGACCAGCCGAAGCGCTCATTCTTCAACATAGCGCGCAACGTGGTTTATTAGCTAGAAATCTCGCTCTGGCACAATGGGTCGAATACGCAAGCATCCATCAGGAACATCCATTAAGTTTCACAGTTTTTAATAAACTTGTAATCGACTTGCTCAGACCAATGGACAGCGGTCTGTTCTCCGTTGACGAAACTAAACTTTTCTGGAAAGCCACGAAGAAAATTGTATTTTCATGCTTAAACAGTATACGAAAAATTAGAAAGTTAATTTTGGGGGATAAAAATACCATGGTACAATTATCTTCCATTTTAGGGTAATTGCTTATATTCTTACAATATTTTATTAACTTTACAATATGTGATATTAATGCAGATAATTCTTTATATTAAATATTATTGAACATCAATTAATATTGATATTTAATGATATTTATAATATTAAACTTCAGATTGGTGAAGCAAAATTCTTAAATGAATAATCAATAATTTTAGGATATTATCATCTATATCCTCTCTGAAAGTTCCTGAAGATATTAATCTCTTTCCGGCCAAAATGTATTTCTGGTTTTCTGAAGCTGATGATTTAAAGATAGACATAATCCAGGCTTTAGAATACACTATTACACAAAGCTGCGCCGAATGGTAAGCAAAGCAAAACGCACAAACTTGATATATTTCATTCTGTTGTAGTTTTACTAAGCGCATATTTTAATATGTTCTAGGTTTGAACACATACTAAGCAATAATTCGCCTGATACAGAATCGGATGAAGACGCGCTTAGGTATCATATTAAAGTAATTCAATTAATTAGAGCGGACTTACAGAAAGCTATTGATTATTATGACAAATTATTCATAAGGTAAGTCGATCTGTCTTATTATAAGATGCGTAGAGAATATTTATCTATTCAATAACATAGACATAAATATTAATTACAAATTTTAGGAGAGTCAATGTTCCGTATGCAAGAATGATGTATATTGCGTATGAGAAGAGAATCAGTGATATGTGCATGATCATTATAGAGGACGTGTGTGCCAGATTGAAACGAATTGAAGTTGATAGCACTGACAACGCGGAATTGAGTTTAGGCACGACTCTATTCGAGCTTTACCTCACGCTTCAAAGATATGCCACGTGAGTTTTTTAATTTTGCAAAATTTACTTGATAAACTTTAAACCTTTCGCTAATTTTGACATACAATTTGCAGACTTGGTCAGGTACTTTGTGCCGAAGGGCAATTGGAGGATATGAAGATACAGAGTTATTACGATTGGTTTAGGGGTGGTGTTGCACATTGGCTAGAAATCGCAGTGTATAAAGCACTTAAACGCATCGACAGAGCTGTCGAAATTGATACTTTGCAAGCAGTCGACAATAGCGTTCAGTATAGTTCCAGCGCTGTAGATACATTAACAACATTCTATCAAATTAAAGTTTTTTGGACGCAGCTAGCGTGGCCCGACGTTGAAGGTTCCTATACGTTCGTAGCAAGAATTATTGATGTAAGTTCGAGAATTCTATTTTCTTAAATGGATTTAAAATGGTCCATTTAAGTTAAATTGACGTGTAATATGTATTGTCGTTGATAAGGAAATTAATGTATTGCAAGCAAATATATAGGATTGAGAGAAATAACGATAACTTTGAACAATTTAAAATAAAATAATTGCTTTGCAGGACATTTGTAAATGTTCCATGGCATATGCAGATAAAATGGCAGTAAAAGCGGAGCTGACAACAGAATTAGAACAACTCTCGCAGAGTAGCGTCTATGAAAAAAGGTTTACAATATCTACGGCTTGGTGCTTTGCCATTAACAATATCGATTATATCAGAACATCGATCGCACCGTTGGCGAAAGATTTGGGACTGCAGAATATTGTGGATGCTTTAGGAGAGCACAAGACTCATGAGGAGGCTGATCGTTGCCGACAGACTCTTCAGCTTATCATTGACAACGCCACAGATACTGTGAAGAACAGGATCATAGAGTTGTTGGAAGTTGTAGCCAACAAAATGACTCCTGCAATGAACAGGTGCGTGAATATAACTGAAAATGCGTCATTTTCTTTTAATTCAATTGACATTTGTAATAGTTTATAATACGATTTATAAAAATATACATATAATTAATTTTCTTTAATTTAGTTACGTTTTAAAGTACCTTAATGAGAAATTTATTTGCGTTTTCAGATATCTCATGGAGGGTGCTGAATTAATTGACACGACCAGCAACGCAATGGATCGTCTGCTACAGTATTTAGACAGTAATCTAGGAACTTTGCATGATAATCTCAACGAGGATAACTTTAACAGAGTTCTCCTAGTGATTTGGGAAATTATATCGCAAACGTTGTATGAACTAGTCAACACTAATTTAGAGGTGAATAACAAGAATACAAGCATATTTCTTTTTCTTATCATAAAAAGTTCAGTTCTCCATAAAATAATACTGTTGCTTGTAGAAACGACGACCACCAGCATTTTACTCGAACTTGCATAAAACTCTTCACACACTCATTCGATTCTTTAATCTCGATGCCGATGAAACAGCAAACGTGCAAGTTTTAGAGAAAATCGAACGTGTTTTAAAATTACATGGACTTGAGACTGCCGAACTCATACATCGTTTTCATCAGGAACGTATGGAAGAACAGAAGGAAATGGAAGAACCCATTTACGGTCTTGTCAGCGTCAAAGCATACTTCCTTGATAATTCATTGAATATACAGATTCTGAATGCCAGAAATCTCCGTTGTATAGATAGCAATGGTGAGTAAAATAAATTTTTTTTGTAAAGAAATATACAAAGTTAACGAAATTTCTCCTCAATGGTATAAAAGTAAAATTTGTGAAAGTAATAAAAATGTAATTAGACGAAAACTAAATAACTTTAACAAACACGAAGTGGAGTTTTGCAGTTACAAAAAAAAATCTGATAAGTGAAAAGTTTGATGATATAAGTAAATTAAATGATACAAAACAGAAATTTTAAGATGATTAACCGCAATAATTATTTTTTAAATAAAGATTTATGTATTTTTTTATGGGAATTATGATGGGACTTCAATTCTGATATGTTCAATCGCTGGTGAAAACAATCGCGGAATTTCAAAGGAGAAATGACAATTTTTTTCGATTTTATAGGCCATTTTATAGGCAAGCTGTCTACTCTTGAGCGTAAACTACATTCAAAATCTAAACAAAGAGTCAAAGAAGGGAAGACAAGTATGTAAAAGCGAATATAAAATGGAGTTCTTCCTCATCAATTATTACATGATTCTCTATCAAATTGCTTGCTCTCGCGGAAATAGCATTTTGGGAATGCATGGCACGAATTTGTATTGAATTGACGTTTTTTAAAAGTAGAAAAATATAGTCTCTAATGAATACAATGGTCTTCCTGGCTCAAAAGGATCGAATATTGTTACGGAATATTGTTTACGTCGATTATTTGTAATCTCTTATCTATGAGGTTCTCTAAAATCTTATTCTTACCGAATAAAAATATATTTTACACATTGTTAATTGAAATCAATTATTAGTAATTAAATTAATGTTAATTAACCTCACAGATAAGAATATATGTCGTCAGCATTAATAATCACTTTCACCTTGCATGAATAGTTTCACAGTGGGTTTCTTCAAATGTTAAATCATGTTATGTATAAAATCTGAGTTTCCTATGTTTATTACAGGTAAATGCGATTCCTACGTAAAAGTCAGATTACTGCCTGAAGAGAAATTTGCCGAAATTAAAGCGCCGAAGACACGTGTGCAGAAAGAAACGATCTTTCCCCTTTTTGATGAGACATTTAACATGTTAGTAATGTACCTAATTATTATTGTTTTAAAATCATTATATGTATGGAATCATTATATAAATAGAAAATAGAATAGAATATTTATGAAATAATTCCAACATTTACAGTCCTCTTACTCCGGAACAAAGAGCTATAGAGAATGCTATAGTGGCATTTGAGGTAAAAGACAAGGACTTTCTCAGATCAAGATTTATGGCTGAAGCTTTTTTACCATTTAATGAGATTCCTGACACTGAACCAGAAACTGGTTTCGCAATTTTAGAACAAATACATCTAAAACTTTCTCGTCCGACCAAGAAAAGTATGTAACAAATTTTTAATTTGAAAATAATATAGAATCTATTATGTCTGTCAAATTTCAATATAAGTATAACCATACATATGCATACTATTCATGTGTAAATGCCATATATTAAACATAAATTTATATTAATTTAAAGATACGGATGTCATTCGCGCATTGGAGCATCGGAAAGGAGACAATCAAGCGACAGACTTCATTTCAAGACTTAATACTAAAACAAACACTAAATGATCCACGTGGAGCTTCGACATTGATCTACGTTTGGATAATTTTCGAAAATATGCAATGCAGAATATATTTACACAACTCAGTCTATACAAGACGTGGCGATGTTAATGTGCCAGTGTTGCCTTATCGAAAGTCGCTGTGAATATTTGTTGACACATGTTCTGTCATCACGCCATCATAAATTCCATAACGCGATACTCACAAGTGTCTTAGGCTGTGTTCGATTGTTTTTATACTTTCGAGAGAATTATTGAATATCGCATTTTGAAACTTTAAACCGAAACTGTAAGGCTGAGTAAGTGCTACTTATAGAGAGACCTATGTTTGTATTTATTGTGAACAGGTAATTAATCATGTTGAATGACTATATACTCATTGTTATAAATACTTTTGTAATATATATGTATTGTAATAAAAACTTATACATAATATGCGATGCAATAGAAGTTTGGAAATATCTTTTATATTGTACATGTGTAAGTAATATTGTTATATCTAGCAAATAAAGCATGTACATAGATTCTAATAATATTAAATGATAAAATAACTGACAATATAATTGTTTTATCATTAGTATTATTTTTATCAAACAATTATATCTTTAGAAAATTGTTAACATTTTTATTTACAATGTATAGCTTTAATAATTTTTATTATTTTGAGATATACAATTTTCTATCTTGAATAAATATTTTACATTATTGAAATAAACAATATTTATCTACAAATTTTTATATGACCAACAGAAGGAAAAGGTCATTTTCCTAGAAATTCATTGTAGTACCATCTATTGAACAGAGGATATTATATATATGATTGAGCTCAAAACAGACTATAATTTTAGGCAATAATTAAATAATTCATTTAAAAGTAAAATTTAAAAAGCTAAATAATTTTAGTAGTTATTAATGTTCTACAATTATGTGATATGTATAGATATTATCTAATCTAATAGCGGTATCTGAATATACAGAAGTTGGGAAACACAGCAAACGGTACGTTATTCGACGAAAAGATGGCGTCAGCATCCTCTCACAGATACCTTATTTCGATTGTATAAGTTGATAAACGAAATTAAAATTATACATATATATGTATGTAATATAATTTTATTTTATGTATTATTAATAATACTTAATAAATAATTAACTGTTTGTATATATTTAATAAATTTCTATAAAGTAAATACGTTTCTAGAATTTCAATATTATTAATAGAGTTTTTCTTCTTTTTCTTAATTCTTCTTAATAAATAAATAAAAACTATATAATAAATTTTAAATTATTTAATATCTAGTGTAACTTAACTTGTTATTAAAAAAGAACCAATGATGTTGCATTTATGTCACTATGTCACTATAAATGAGTTCTCTCTTTAAAAGTTTCAATAAATAACATAATATATTGGAGCTAAAAATTTTTTTTATCTTTTTATCTTTTATATGTTACTCTTGCCAACATATCAGTTGATTAATATATTTATAACAGCTATCAAATTTACTGTAAAGCATGCTAACAAACTGTTTTTTTGAGTGGTCTGTCAAACTACTTGTAAAATTTATAACGGAAGACAGTTATAAATTTTAAGCAAACTATATAGGAAATCTTTTTTGGAGACTATTCGTTTACGATGTTACAAGAAACCGTGCCGTGTCTTTTAATCTCCATATCAGCATGCTGCTGCACCAGGAACCTGCTTTTAAGAAAACAACCATGTTTGTGATTTTATACCGGATGACACTTCGTGGAATAGCACATAAATCTACGAGAAATAAAATAAAAAGAGAAAGATCGTATACTATGCATATGTAAAGTACAAATTAATATATTGTATATATTAATAACATATTAATAATATAATAATTGTTATTTCTAATTGTCTAAAATTAAGATACAATTGTGATATTTTCTTTTAAATTGGAACACTCATGTTAAAAATAATAAATGATATGCGCTATTTTTAATAAATGCAGCGTTACTAAAATGTTACATTTTTGTGATGGTTTAATGCTGTTCAGTATTCATGAGCACGATAATATGACGCTGTTTATAACAACGCTCAGCCGTTTCAACTAATGTGAAATTGCGATCTTTATATGGCTTGATACTAGGTATTATTATTTTATAAATAACATGCAATTTCAAATTTTGGCAGAATTTTAATACGTAATGCGCGATCCAATTACCTTTATTGTGTCCGTCAAAATTTACAACAACGGTAAAAAGTATCATTTGAAATAAATGAAATATTTCTCGTCTAATAAAAATATGAATGACTGTTTTTCTCGTTGTACACAGCATTTTGTTCGAATCTTTGACATATTTTCCATAAATTTTATGTGATCTGCGATTAACAGACCGAAATACATAGCAATGGCGCACATATTATAGAGAATTCATAATTGCTGAGAATGCCAATCGATATATATTATATAACAGCGTTATGCTAGCCGGCTGATGATGGTTATTGACCAATAACAATCACATGCGACGGAGCAGTACGTACGTAATTAAAATGATTTTAAAACGACACGATGTACAACGTATATTTGCTGAAAAACATTGAAATTCGGATGCATTTAATTCATTATATACAGCAAATAAAATTCTATCGTATAAGATGTAAAGAAATATTTAAAGTATCAATAATGCATCGATAATTTATACATTTTTATTTTTGTTACTAAAACGTTATTCTCCCATATCTTGTCAAATAGATAGATAGATTATCTATACATATATTATATGTATATGTAAAATAAATAGGTATTATTTTATATTATGTTCATTATTGTATACAGTAACCATATAACTTTTGGGGGTATAATGTGTATATGTGTGTTTATATATATATATATATATATATATATATATATATATATGTCAATATTGTCAATATTTATACTAATATCGGTAATCAAGTCATATTAACATTCCACAACTGAACATGTTAATAGATATATTAAATATACATAATGTAATAATTATATGTGTACACTCTGTAAATAGCGATACTAAAATACACATTTTATGCTCTTCAGTATTTGAAACAATAATATCCGTTTATCACGCAGAACGACGTACCAGTGAAGCGGACGGTAACGCGCTATCGGCTCGGGGGAAGGAACGCGTTATTTCTACCCCTGAGGGCTTGAATGCGGATCCGGTGGGCAATTTTCGCTCGCGTTAGGAAATTGCAATTAAATCGACAGTGATACGGCAAGCGCTGTATTTGTACTATATGGCAAACCGACGACACACCACAAAGCGAACGAAAGTGCGCGCGTCATTCTACCGATGGACGAGTATCGCGCGCGACCTACAATCTACAATGCGTTATTCGCCGCATGTGCGCGCCGAGCGTTATTATTTTCATTGGCAGGGTGCAGCATGAATCGAAAACCGGATTTTAATCCCTCATGACAGTGACGAGACGCTGACACGAAGATCTGTAGGAACAATTCCGTAACCCTCGGAACCCTACGCCGGGATTCAAAAAGGTTTGGAATTAGCATAAGTGACACTATACACGACGTGCGTGCGACGTAAGCGCTTAAGAGAGTGTTTTTTAAACATTGAAAAAAGATTTAGCCTGGAATTATTCGACCAATATAATGTGGCTTTGTTGACAATTTTTTTCTCACAGTTTCTACGTAATTTCTTGAAAAATTTTAATTTAGAGAAGCCAAGGCTTCTATACGTCTGCACTTAAGAATAGTATTATGCGATAGAAATTCTTGAAAGATATAAAAAGTCAATTTTTAACTGTCAAACGTTCAAACTCGTTCTCAATCAAAAAATGACACACTATATGTTCTACAGATAGTTTATGGAACAACTGTGAAATGATTGAACGAGAAAGGCTCGAGCTTTATCTCTCACAAGTTTATAAAATCATAGCGACACTTATTGGCGTAAAACATATCAGTGCGCAGTCATGTTTATTAATTAGGCTGTAGTTTGACAAATATATGATATGTATACCCAACACATATACTTGATTTATATTACAAGTATCGCATATTGCAGGGTTGATATGCGATCAATTATGCTATTGAGAAATTGATTACATAAACGAGAATTATAGCAGTACATTTTAATTAAACGTTCATTTTCTCTCTTATTCGTAACGTTAACTGTCATTTGCAACTAGATTCTAACAGATTGTCTAATATTTTATGTTACATATTACCTAATGTATGCAAGATAGTCATCGATATATAATTTTCTGAAACAAATATTTTTGAAAGCAATAAATAATTACAAATAATAACCACACCAACCACGCAAAATACTTATATGCTAGCACATATATATGTAAATCATATAATTAATTCAAAGACATGAAGGAAATGCAAAATGCTGAATGAGAAGTTGCAAAATAATTCTATAATAAATGTCTTTACAAACTGCTGAAAGGTATGAGAAAGTATCCTTTTCAGTTTTTAGGACATAAAAAACTTATATTTAATGAAGAGTGTTGTGTGTCTTAAAAAAGGCTTTCATAAAATAATTTATTTCTATTATTAATCAATGTTAAATTAATAGATAATATTACAACTTTTATAATAAACAGGAAATGTCTAAAAATCGAAACAATTAAGACAAGGATAATCAATTTCCAAAAGGTTTGATTATAGATTTTGTCAAAATATTTTTTAACGAAAAAAAATAGATGCCTTATGTAGAGGAATAAAAAAATACTATCATTTAGCAATCTCTCGAAAGATAAAATTATAATTAACAAGGTTCACAGCCAATCTCGCTCGTGTCGTGCAAAATGAAACGGAATTCGACACATCCGTTGTCCGAAGGGCAACGGGGCTTACGTGAAAAGAAAAAGCGGACGAATGGTCTCGGCGCACAATTATCATCAATACAAGAGCATACGTGGTACGCTACGCGACGCGCGATCGTCCGGTCGGTCCAGATGGTAGCCCGAACGGGACTTATAAGCCCCGCACGTTTTGCTCGGGCACGCACTGTCGCTACCAACCGACCGATACGATCGTAATTTCGACTTAACGTCGATTTATCGCAACCGGAGCTGCGGACGCGTGGGACGGCACTCGTGCCTTTCTCGAGGTGCGAATAATAGTGTCGGAGGTGCGGCGGTCACGTTCGTTGTATCAATGGCCGAGTGTTTTCGAGTTCCTCTCTCGTAGCTACGTTTCTCGCTCTCCGATGATCTTTTTTTTCCGGCCTGGTCGTCAAAGGGCCTTGGTAGAATCGTGACGACCGACGAGGTGACGGGATCGCCGGTATGAACGAGACTCCCGGTTCGCTCTGTCGCGTCGTGTCACGACTTGGGCGAAGGGCGCGCGAACTCTCGTCCTTCTCTTTCTCTCTTTCTCTTATTCTTCTCTCCTCCTCTTGCTTCTCCTCTCCTACTCCGTTTCCTGCCATCTCGTCTTTGCGAAATAAGGTCACGGCGGAG